ATATATATATATATATATATATATATATGCATTTTTTTTAAGTAAGCTTTATGCCCAGCATGGGGCTCGCTCATGACCCTGAGATCAGGAGTCGCATACTCTACCAACTGAGCCAGCCAGGTGCTCCAAATATGGTTTGTGTACTTTGCTGTATATAGGTTATACTTTAGTGAAAAGTTAAAAAAAAATCAAAGAGGCATATCTGGACCCCATGTGGGAGAATGGCTGGCTGGGGCGGGGGGGGTGTCCATGCATATTTATATGTGCCAGGCACTGATTGAGGCACATTGATGCCATGGTAGGCCAGGCAAGACCGAGTCCTCCTGAGTTTGCATTTTGGTGGAGGAGAGGTGGGACAGAGATAACCAAGTAACCAAACAAAATAATTGCAGAAGAGGTGACTATGAGGGTTAGCAAATGGGGTGATGTCATGATACAGGAGGTGTTTAGCAGGGATGGTTAGACCACTTCGAAGAGGTGACATTTGGCAAAGCTCTCAGTGAAGAGTCACTGTGAGGAGGTAAAAGGAAGACAGCAGTAAAGAGAGCAGCAAGTGCAAAGGCCCTGAGGCTGGAATGAACCACTCAAGGGAGCCAGTGTGGCTGGACCATTGGGACAGAGAAAGGTGGTATGACAGGACTTCCAGAACAGCAGAGGCCTTGAATGCCAAGGTAGTGAGTTTGGGTTTTATTCAAAGTAGAAAAAAAAAAAGTGATCTTGGTCTCCTTTCTCTCCTAGGTCTCAGCCCAGAGGGCACCTTCTGCAAACATGTCTGTGGATCCCTTATCCAGCAAAGCCCTGAAGGTAAGGAGGCAGCCCCTGTTGTCCCTGTCCTCCCCCTCCCTCCTTGCCTAGGCTCACTGTCCCATCCCAACTTCCCAACTTCAGTTCCTGGAATCCTCAAGGGTGGCTCAGCAGGCTTCAGGTGTTCATGAGGCCCCGGGAAGGGCCCTGGGCTGGAAACCAAGAGGCCTGGGCTCTGGTGGTAGGCTGTGTGCCTCCTGGGACAGGTCACTTCCCTCTCTGGGCCGGCTTCCCCATCGGAACCACGCTTACTGGGCTAGAGAGGACTTAAAAGGTGCTTTCTGGACCAGGTTTCTCTGGCTGAGTCCAGGCTGGGGCACTGGGTTAGAATTTGGGCCAAGCCCCCGCGTGGTGGTTCCTTTTATGTTCAGATCCCGGTTTGGCCCAGTTTCCCCTTTCTGGATTCCTTGCCCTCCCGTTTGGGGCCTTGGAGCAAGTCCAGCCTCTAAGTCTGGGCCTATGGTGGTGCAGGGGGAGCATTGGGGGGGTGGGTGGGGGGAGCCGTCTCCAGCACCTGCTGCGCGCCAGGCCCAGGGCCGGGGCCCACAAGCAGGGCGCGAACCTGGGCCTCAGTTTCCCCATGTGCCCAACATGCTGCCCCCAGATCAAGCGTGAGCTGAGCGAGAACACGCCGCACCTGTCGGACGAGGCGCTGATGGGGCTGTCGGTGCGCGAGCTGAACCGGCACCTGCGCGGGCTCTCCGCCGAGGAGGTGACGCGGCTCAAGCAGCGACGCCGCACGCTCAAGAACCGCGGCTACGCCGCCAGCTGCCGCGTGAAGCGCGTGTGCCAGAAGGAGGAGCTGCAGAAGCAGAAGTCGGAGCTGGAGCGCGAGGTGGACAAGCTGGCGCGCGAGAACGCAGCCATGCGCCTGGAGCTCGACGCGCTGCGCGGCAAGTGCGAGGCGCTGCAGGGCTTCGCGCGCTCCGTGGCCGCTCGTGGGCCCGCCGCGCTCGTGGCGCCCGCCAGCGTCATCACCATCGTGCAAGGCAGAATCTTGGCTGCCATGGAGCTGGGCCTCTAATGGGGAGGCAGACACTGAGCAAATATGTACAATAGATGAATGAGAATATATACAGTGGAAAGTACCTTGGAGAAACGTGAGGTAGGGAAGGGAGGTGGAGAGAGAGAGAGAGAGAGAGAGTGTGTGGGGGTGTGTGTGTGTGAACCAGGGGCTAGGAATTCTAAATGGAGTGAGAACCGGAGATTTGAAGAGACCTGAAGGTGAGAAACAAGCTTGGTGGCCATCTAGGAGAAGAGAAAGCCAGGCCCAGGGAACAGCCAGTGCAAAGGCCCTGGGGAGGAGCATGCGTGGCGTATGTGAGGAACAACAAGGAGGAGGGTGTGGCTGGAGCAGATTGGGGAAGGGGAGCCAAGCAGGAGCTGAAGTCAGAGGCCTACGCTCGGGCCACATGCAGCGGCTTGTGGGCCATTGTGATGACTTTGGCTTTTACTTCCAGTGAGATGGGAACTGTGGGACGGTTCTGAGAGGGAAGTAACATGAGTTACCTAACACACTCTGGGTCACCCCTGGGGAAACTGAGGCACAGAGTGGTTACCCGATCGGCCAGAATCAGAGCTAGTGGGGGGAACCACCATCAAAAGGCCCCACGGGTGTCTGGCACCAAAGTCCATGCACTTTGCATTTCTCTACAGCGTGTCCCAGGGACACCCGGACCTGTGGGAATGTGTCAGAGGCCGAGCTGAGGCTGTGAGGTGGGCCCCACAGAAAACTCGAGAAACCAGGGTTTGGACCCCGTTTGCCCCTGCTGCTCTCTAGCATCCTGGGTACTGCAAATGAGATCGATAGGATACTGCATCTCAGGCCACAGAGCATCTTCCCGCCCTGTCCCCTTCGCTCCTCACCACCACGCCTCCCCTTGCCGATTATCAGATGAGGAAACACAGGCTAACAATCTGCTGGGGACAGAGAGGACTGCTGCTTTCAAGGGGGCTTTGGGAGACAGTCCTCTTCTCGGCCCCGAGCAATGGCCACGGGCCTCCAGAAGGTACCCTCCATGTCTCCCCAATGCCAATGTCTGGCATAGAGTAGACGCTCAAAAAATATTTGTTGAAGGGACATGGAACTTTCAGGCCTGTGGGGGAGACACTGAGGGCCACTGGACCCCTCATCGGTTTAGGGTATGGCTGCCCTGTCTGCCCAGGACGGTGCTGAATTAGTGTTGGGTAGCTGCCAGGCGGGGAAAGCTTTCCCAAGACAGATTTGGATGAGGAGGGCGTGGGCTGGGGGAGAGGGGAAGGGACTGGTTACGTGTTATTTTGATGGGCTGCAGGTTGGACTCTGAAAAGTCATTGACTAGCATATATATATATATATATATATATATAT